TAGCTGATGGAATGTTTGGATAATGCACAGTCCACTTTTTCTTCTTTGACACACCTTTCCCAACTGGAGGCACCATGCAGAAGTAACAATTGCTGGTATGATCTGTTGGCTCTCTCCAAATCATTGGCACTGCAAAAGGCATAGATTTCCTTTTCCTGTTCAACCACGGGCGAAGATTTGTTGCACAAGTGTTGCAGCATATGTGTGGGGCCAAAAATAAAGGTGATAGGTTTTCTTAACCATAGTGGTTATACTGTGCTTTTGTGATGCAAAAGTCACTTCACCACAAACATAGCAGAAGTTATCTGCACTGTTCACACAAGTACGAGGCATCTCTGCTCACTTTGGCTAAACAGAAATGTGTCCCTTTGCAAAATCAAACACTGACAAATAAGAGAGCACGACACTGTATGATTTCTAGAGCTGATATAGGGCAATTTGTTCAGCAGAGTGATGTAAGCTTCATTATGATTGCATCATCCATGACTTCTAGGAATAACATGATGCAATTCATATCATGTATGACGCAATACCAGCTTCAGATTGCATCATTCATTGTTTTGCCTAAAAAGCAAGTACTGTCCAAACCCAGTCATAGATTTATTCATAGATCCAGTCAAAGATGTATTTTAGTCATTTCTGGTTTAAATTGAGATCCCTTCCCTTTATAACTCACTTATCCTCCGCCATTCCCAAGTCAAGGGTCGTATATACTGACCCAATAGCATATCTTGAAAACTAGAGCCAATCAACAATTTTAAGCATCATTTTCGTTCTCAGTGACCCAGAATTAGTAAAGTTTGACTACATTTATTTCAGAAGCATTTTGGCTGTAGAGCAGTGATTTAGTAAAAAGTCTACTTTGTGGTAAACAAGTGGTTCATCTTCTGGCGATGTGATTCTTGTTTGGAGTGAGACATCTTGGGTCCTGTCTTCGTCAACTTCCTTGATGTAATATGTGACGAGCAATGGATTCCAACTTGGTGGCTACAAGGATGTCATGTTACATCCATGAACAGTCATCAGTCATCCCAAACAGATACCTTGTGCATCCAAACTTACAGGTGAGGAGTTATTGGGGGAAACATCAGGGAAATTAGTAGCTGAGACTGCAGAGAGTACTCTGCTCTCTGTCAAAGCCAGCAAAGAAATCTATTAGGTGCTGGCAACACCCAATGGTATCCAAGAAGGGACTGTTAACTTGGCAGGGAGAAAACATTTGGAGCAGAAGCTTCCAAGGAGACCTAGATGAATTTTACTACAAACCAACAAAATATTTAGTATGACAGAGACTCTTCCTTCTTATCCACCTTCTTTACCAGAGCCTTAACTAGTTGACTGTAGTCACAGCAAGGCATAGCTCACAAGCCACAACATGCAGTGCCACAACCCAGACGCTGGATCACTTTCGAGGGCATGGCTTCGCAATAACACCAGGAAAAGCTCTCTGGTTCTGTTAACAAACGTAATTCACCTGGGATTGGAAATAGACACTTTGGTGATCGAGATCTGCCCATCACTAGACAGAGTCCAGAAGAACCAGGATTTGATATCCATGCTGGACAAATGCATGAGACCAACCATGGCTCAGTGTCTCTAGCCATTAGGCCTACATGGGTCTCCCCATGGGCAAGGTCTTCTATCAGGCATCTCCAAGCCTTTCTTCTGAAAGTATGGGACCATTCCCTGGAGTGAATGCAAGACCAGGTACTTGTTCCCAGCCAGGTGCTGGATCCCCTAAGATGATGGACAGTCCTAGAGAATGTCCGCAGGGGTCTTTCCATATTCTTTCTGGTCCAGCAGGTTCTCACAACAGACACCATTCTGAAAGAATAGGGATCACTTCTGGGATCCAGAACAATGTAGGATATCTGAAGCTCTGGGGAAAGGAACCACAGCATTAAGCCTTTGGAGCTCACAGCTGTCAAACTACCTCTACTGAATGCCAGGTCTTCCTAGAGGGCAATCACATCTTGATCCACCCAGACAGCCATGGCTGCATACATAAACGATCAAGGGGGAACTAGGAGTGTAGCTCTGTGTGCAGAAGCGATGGAGACAATAGAATGGGCAGACAAGACTCTCCCTTCCCGAAAGGTGATACACACAAAAGGAGAGCTGAACATAAAGACAGACTGGCTCAGAAGATGCAAAATCGACTAAACCAGAAAGTCTTCACTCTGATCTCGCAAATGTTTGGGCTCCTTTCTGACCTCTTCTGATAGAATTGAAGCTAGAACAATTGTTGCAGCTTTTGAAGAGACCAGACACCTTTTTTCCAAGACCTGTTCCTCCACACAGACCTACATCATCTTCAACTGACAGCCTGGCTATTATTAGAATTAGCCTCACTCGGCCTACCTTCCAAAGGGATCAGAACTTTGCTCTCATCCAAGAGAATTTCCACACTAAAAAATCTTCTCCATGTGGACCAAGTTCAGTTCATGGTTCCAAGAGCATAATGCAGATCCAAGGGATCCTGGGGATTCTGGCCCCCCTGGACTTCCTTCAGGAAGGTGCGAATAAGGGCTTTCAGCCCAGCACCTAGCTAGCCAGATATCAGCTCTAAGTAGCGTGGTACTCACAGGATCCTCAAATTCCTTGGCAGAACCATCAGGTATCCAGATTTCTCGGAGCAATCAGACTGACCAGACCAGCAGTCAGACCAATTTTCCCTAAGTGGAACCTACCACTGGTATATGAAAGCCATAACCACCCATCTCTTTGAGACTATGACTTCCTTCAGTCCACTTATGGCCATAGCACCTGATGAAGAAGCAGTGACACACTAGAAGTCAGAAGAGCACTCAAGACTTACATCAAGCATGCAGAATTCACAAGATCTGGCTCCCTCTTCATTTCCTTTCATCCTGAGGTGCCAAAGGCTTTAGTGTATCCAAACTTCCTCTTACTAGATTAATCAGACTGCGTTGCTGAGGTGTACAAGCTATCTGGCACACTTGTTCCAGAAGCAATCAAGGGACATTCTACAAGATCCATGGCAACCTCATTGGCTGAAAGAGCGAGTGCTTCCAGTGCACAGAACTGCAGAGTAGCCACATTTTCATTAACTGATGCCTCTATCAGACACTATAAGGTAGACTTTCTGTCTCTGCAGAGGCCTCCTTTGGCAGGCAGGTACTGCAGGCAGTGGTCCAGACATAACCTGGCCATTTGAGCAGTTCCAAAAAGGGTGGTGTTGGGGGGTGTCTCCCCTGTTTCTTTTGTTCACTTTTCTATCGCTTCCTTCTCCTATTCATGACTTGCTACTTCCCATACATATCAGAATTGTGGGAGATGCTGAGCTGCAGAATGGAGAATTTCTTACCTGATAATTTCCTTTCTGCTAGCAGCATCTCCCACAGTTCTACGCACCTTGGATGGCTTCACAGCCAAGGATCAGCATTTTATTTGGATAGTTACCATGTAGGCAGTGGCCTATTGTCCATAGTTAATTAGTTATCCCAGAAATTATTGTTACTAATCATTTTCCAAGAGTTTTTCACAATTTTGGAATTAATCATCTGGCAATCAGGAGAAAGGGGCATGGCTGGCACAGTTTTGAACCACCTCCAGAAACTTCAGACCGGAGGGGAATAGCCCAGAATTGTGGGAGATGCTGAAGCAGAAAGGAAATATAGCATCTTGTTCTCGGGAGGAGATCAGAGTCTCAGGTCTCTGTCGGATGCCTTCTTAATATCACAGTCCCACAGCCAGTTTATCTTTGACAAATTTTAAAATCTGGTTACTGTGTAGCCCCATAAATGAGGTTGTTGAGTTTTGGACATAAAATTGAAATTCAACTTCTTTATGTCTGCAGAATGTAATATATCTTTCTTAAAATTACAGCACTTTCTCTGAATCCAAAATAAATTTTGAGGGCAGGTGGAAAGGACAAACAAGTGTATACTCTGCTTTCTGCTGCTTTCATGATGCAAAGCATCTGTAAATTTACTTTAACAGGTCAGTATGCTCTGGCTTCTTTGTGCTGCTCCATATTGGCTAAAAGCAGCCAGAACATGCATGTGAATCTGACCCAGAAAGTTAGAACGAGTGGGAGACCCAAACAACCATAAGTCTGCCCTACAGTGACACCAGTGGGTGAGAAGGTTGGAATCTAATGTTCCTTTTAAAAGTCGGTTAATCTGAGAGACAAGCATTAAATTGTGTTTATCATAAGGATAAGATTGTCACAGTAACCGTGAAATTTTGCCACACATTAACAGTTAGTTAGTTTGTGTTAATCTAGTCCCATTTCAAAGCGGACTAGAACAAAGTGAACTAACAAACTGCTATTGTGTAGCAGCTGGGCCACAAGGTTATCCTGACCATAGCGTGAAATTATTTATTTTTTCCCCAGTTATTCATAATTTTACCATGACAAACTCATATCCAGAATCATAAATATATGGTTATTGCATGGTGTCACTGCCGGGCACAGTAAGGATTATTTGGGTGCACTGTTGTGCATTTTGATGCTTCAACATGTTTGTATTTCTTTTACATTTAAATTTAACTCTGAGTTTTCAGGGTTTATAATGCTTGGGTTTGAGATAATTGCAATATCCTTAATTTTACCCTAAATTACTGATATTTGTTCTCAACCTTAATTCCATCTATCCATGTACTTTTTGGTTTTGAATATAATATAGTATTACCAGTTAAGTCCATTATTTTAAATATGTTTAATTCTGCTATTTTAAGACTTTACCTTTGCACTTCAATGTGTGATTATCTTAATTAAATTATTTGAATACCAAATATTGAACATGCATATAATTGTCCTGCGGTTGGAAAAGTGTGAAAAAACTACGTATAAAATATTACTCAACTGTTTAATGTAAACCTCTTTCAAAGTCCTTATTTTTCTTAAACTTCCTCTAATGCAGAAAGTCTCTTATAATTTTTGGCTACATGATTTAGCAGCATTAGTTTTAAAATATTTGTGTTTAATTATGTATCATAAATATAAAGCAACACTTCATTTGAAATTTCTACAGGCTATGGCCATTCAGATGCAGATGTTCTTCACCAGTCCTTACTTGAAGCAAACATTGCCACTGAAGTTTGCCTTACCACTCTGGATACTTTATCTTTATTCACAATGGCATTTAAGGTTTGTCCTTAACACAGTTTTGATAGATTATTTGATTTTTGGCATTTTAAATAATTATTCTCTAGAAAATTACTAAAAAAGGAGTTCATATTGACCTATACTACTAACAACATCTGTATTAAAACTGCACAAAGCAGGTAATTCATAATCATGCCATTCAATAGCTAATTATTATACTATTAACAGTAAAGGTTAAGTCTCATTTGCTAGTATTAACAGTATGCTTTGAACTCAACCAGTTGTCATTCAGTCCTGCAATTTCTCTAGTAACTTCCACTGAAGTCAGCATGAGTTTTGCCTGATGGACTATAGAACTGGACCTTAAATGTTTTAAACTCAAAAATAGAAAATTGCTAGTAAACAGATCAGTTTAAATGATGCATGTTCTTAGTTTATTTTTACACCCTCTGAGGGCAAGAGTAAGCAGGGTAGAGTGAGCAAGACCTCTTATTGGTCAGCAGCATTCGATAAGGTCCTTTTCTTCCTCCCCCACCTTTTCCCTCTCCAAACCCATTACAGAAAGCCCACTGTCTAGTTAGCCTTTTGACATAGCTGTCCTTTAAGGGTTTTATGGGACTGATAAAGAAACACTGCAGTAAAGGCCTTATTAGCTTTGGTTGGTTGGTTTCTGTCATGTTTTTGTGCCCACCCTCTTCATATCTGAGTTACTAATTAAGTATTTAAGACCCCAGTAACATATGTGTACTATCATGTTATAATTCTGTTATGGAGCCATCACTTTGGCTACAGATTAAGATTACTAAAGGTATTGGAGTATTAACTGTTTAGATTTGCTTGTAGTTTTTAATATGCTTCAGTAGTACTATATGTGAGAGGGGTTTTTAAAAGCATCCTTGAGACGTAGCTGAAGCTAAGTTGTGTTTTGTTTTGTTTTTTGCACAATTTATATACATTCTTGATTGAGCATAATATTTAAAGAAAACCCTAAATTGTCAATATCAATTTTAAGAACCAACTACTGACAGATCATGGACATAATCCACTGATGAAAAAAGTTTTTGATGTGTACCTCTGCTTCCTTCAAAAAAATCAGTCTGAAACAGCATTGAAAACTGTCTTCATTGCTTTAAGGGCACTAATTTTTAAGGTAAGTCATTCTAAAATAAAAATGTTAATCTTCAATTATTTATCTTTTTTTATACTTACCACAGTGATTTATATCCAGTTATACAAGTAATATATCATCTTATTTCTCGAATTGAAATTGGATTTAAAAGGAAAAAAACTGTAGCATTGCAGATCATGATTCCGCAACCCATCTTACATACCTGTTTCCCCTAGAATGAATGCAATACATTTGTTTTATTGTTTATCTTTTGTTATGTCCCTGTTGCTACTTTTATTCTATGTAACTGTTAATATCCAATCAATTTGAAATACTTTTTCAAGTACCATTTTATGACACTATATCATACTTTACTAAAATCCATATATTATTTTTTCTGCATTCCTTTTATCCACTGACTTCTATCAAAAAGTCATGAAATGTGACTAGCATTATTTTTTTCTTCATGAATCTATAATTTATTGTTTGATGCCAGCACCATCCTCGGGATGTTGGAATTGTTTTCTCTTAACATTTGTTTATTTTGCTGACGTTAACCTTGACAGATAATTTTTCTCTGATTCACTCTTTCCTCAGTTTCCTTCTGCATTTTATGAAGGAAGAGCTGACGTGTGTGCTGCATTGTGTTATGAAATTTTGAAATGCTGTAATTCCAAACTGAGCTCAATACGTACTGAAGCGTCACAACTGCTGTATTTCTTAATGAGAAATAACTTTGATTACACAGGGAAGAAGTCTTTTGTAAGGACACATCTGCAAGTTAGTATATTTGCTTATCATTGGCTTTCATGGCTTTAAGATCTATTGCTCTTCTAAGCTTAAAAATTGTTGTATAATAAGCTGTGTTCTCTTTTCATGTGTAAAATCTTTGGGTTGTATCACTGTATATTTTTAAAACTGATCCCCAGTTGACTATCTCTGTCTGGGGGGTGGGGGAGGCAGTTGAAAAACTATGAAATATAAATTATGTGCATTACTACGGTGAACTGTTTTTGAACTAATATTGAATTGTTTATACCATTATTGAGTGGGGGTGGGGGGGAGTTATGTAGGCCAGGCAAGAAGAGATATTAGTGGTAAAGCAGCTCTGTATGGGTTTTTTTGTAATTGCTAAAACAGCTTTAAAAGATCATGTTTGTGATGGGTTGTCACCCTGGGGTGTTACCTGGAACTGGGGTACCACCAAGCCCTTTGACTCACCAGCCTGGGCTCCCTCTCACACTGTGCTGCTGTGACAAGCTAGCTGTAGACTGCTCCCAGTCCTACACTCCCACCAGCATTCTCACAGGCAGGGACACACCCAGCTGCAGTTACATGCAGGCTCTGACCAGCCACTGCATGAATCAACAATAGAGAGGCTACAGCCAAGATAGCCCCCAGTGCCCCAGCCTAAGACCGCAGAGCTGTACCGTCTTTCCCTGGTCAAAACTCCGACCAGTATGGATTTATTACTTAGTTTGCCCCTCCCTCGGTGTGGAGAGGAATATGCAACAAGTCTGTGTTAACCAAGCTGAGATTTTTCCCCAGACACTTCACTCAAAGGCACACTGGTTTAGATAAAACAAAAACCAACTTTATTAACTGCAAAAAGATAGATTTTTAAGTGATTATAAATTATAGCAAACAGATCAAAGCAGATTACCTAGCTAATAAACAAAACCGCAAACTAAGCCTAAAATACTAGATAGATTGGATATGAATTAGCAGCTTCTCACCCTGGCTTATGATACAAGCAGTCCACCAGGTTTCCATACACAGGTTAGAAATCCCTTTAGCCTGGGACCAACACTTCCCCCAGTCTTTGTTCCTCAATTTTCCAGGAGTTCTCTTGTGTGGGGTGTGAGGCCCCCAGATGGTGTCACACTCCACCTTATATAGCTTTACCATATGGCGGGAACCTTTTGTTCCAAATTCAGTTCCCAGCCCAGTTTGTGGAAAAATACAGGTACCCAAAATGGAGTTCAGTATCATGTGGTCTGGTCAGATGTCCTTGCTGAGTCATAGCAGCCATTACTTACAGGCCAGCTGAAACGTTTACAGGAAGACTAAGCCTTTTCGTAGTCCATTGTCTTTGCTGATGGGCCTTCAGCCCTGTCTAGGTTTTTCATTGTTGTACTTGAAAGGCTAGCTGTGGATGTTACTCAGAGTAAGCACATTAGGAATACAGATATATAGTCAGTATTTATAACTTCAGATACAAAGATGATACATGCACACAAATAGGATAATCATATTTAGCAAATCATAACTTTTCCAGTGACACCTCACATGGCCCGTCTTGTACAAAATGCATCATAATCATGTCATAATTACATCATAATCAGACAACTATGAAGAATATGGGCTGCAGTGTCACAATGTTAAAATAACTTAGTCTGATTAATTTATATCTGAAGGCTGACAGGCCCAAAGTGTAATCAACCTGTCATCTTCGTAGGTCTCCCCTTCTTTTTCTCTTCTCTTCCCCATCAATCCTCCAAACTAAGAGCTTTGAAAGAGTATTAAAAGAATCCACTTCTCTGCTTGGGTGACCTAAGCTCTAGGTTTGTTGCAGTTATTGACATGCAGGTTCATCTCATGTGAGCATAATGTATGCATGTCACACAATTCTTCTGTCACTGTGAGGCAAAAATCTTGCAGAAAAGTTCCAGCTTACAACCAAATAATTTGATGTAAAGGTAGCAGTGCAAATCTGTTTACTGTAGTAAAATATCAGTAAAACACTGGGCTGTCTAATTGTTGTTGCTAGAAAATGTCATAATTTATGTCTGGGTAACAAGTGTTTTGTTTTATACAGGGTATATAAATTCCTGGGTTAACTAAACTCTGCAAAGGGTTTACAACAAACTGTTGTAACCATGCCTCCGGGGGTCACAACTGAGAATACCAAATTCAGGACAAACTGCTGAGAAATAGAGCAGACACACCCCAAAACTGGTGGTTATTCTCCCATAAGATATACCAAGCCAGCAACAAAAGTAAACTTCTGTTTTACCACACTGGCTAACAAGAAGTCAGAAAAGCAGTCTCCTTAGGCATTCCAGAAACTAGACTTTGTAGACTAAATGTATTCAGCATTCAGAAACTAGACTTAAAAATGAGTGGTTATTTAAAACCAATGTCATCAAACAAAAGGCTGGTTCTGATTCCAAAGGACCAACCACATAGCCAGGTCAATACAGTAAGTAACTCCTCGCTTAACACTGTAGTTATGTTCTGAAAAATGCGACTTTAAGCGAAACGATGTTAAGCGAATCCAATTTCCCCATAAGAATTAATGTAAATGGGGGGGGGGGGGTTAGGTTCCTGGGAAATTTTTTTCACCAGGCAAAAAACTATATATTATATAGATATACACACAGTATATGTTTTAAACAAACAATTTAATATTGTTCACAGCTATGATGATTGTGAAGCTTGGTTGAGATGGTGAAGTTAGAGGGTGGAAGAGGGAGGGATATTTCCCAGGGAATGCCTTGCTGCTAAATGATGAACTAGCACTCGGCTGAGCCCTCAAGGGTTAACATATTGTTGTTAATGTAGCCTCTCATCAAGGTAGCACGAACAGGAGGGAGGGGAGACAGCATAGCAGACAGAGACAGACACACACCTTGTGTGTGGGAGAGAGAGAGAGGTGCACACTGTCCTTTAAGTAAGCTAACCCACTCTTAAGTTCATTGTCTTTTTAAGTGGATAAGGAAGTTGAGACAGCAGCTGTAGCACCAAGCTCTCTCTGTCTCTCTCTGTCGGTGTCCCCTCCCTGCTCTATATGGAGAAGGGGTAAGAGGAGTGCAGGAGCGGGGGGAGAGGGACACCCTGACATTAGCCTCCCTCCTTCCCCCCCCTGCCCAGCAAGTAGGAGTCTCTGGGAGCAGCTCCAAGGCAGAGGGCAGGAGCAGCACATGGCAGTGGTGGGAGGGACAGCTGAACTGCCAATTGATAGCCAGCTGGGCGGCTGCAGCACAGGGAACTTAGGGGAGCTGATAGGGGGCTGCCAGTCCACCCTGGTTACAAGCCCCCACCCAGCTAGCTGCAACAGGCTGCTCTTCCTGCAAGCAGTAGACAAAGCAGGTGGCTGCCAAACAACGTTAGAAGGGAGCATTGCACAACTTTAAACGAGCATGTTCCCTAATTGATCAGCAACGTAACAACGAAACATTAACCGGGACGACTTTAAGTGAGGAGTTACTGTATATAACTCAGATCTTAGCCAATAATCACGCTGTTGCCAATCCTTTAGTATCTAAAATCTAAAGGTTTATTTATAAAAAGAAAGAAAGAAAGGCGAGAGTTAAAATTGGCTAAAGGAATCAAATACATACAGTAATTGCAGAGTTCTTGGTTCAGGTTTGTAGCAGTGATGGAATAAACTGCTGGCTTGTTAAGTCTCTGGTTGCTTCCAAATCATTGGAAGGTCCTCAGTCCCTTGGTTAGAATGCTCCCATTAGTATAAGTCCAGAGGTTTGAGCAGGAAAGAGGCAAAATGGAGATGTTTCCAGGGCCTTATATAGCTTCTTCCCATTATTCTCACTGTGGAAAATTACAGGTAACAAAATGGTGTTTGGAATCATATGGGCAAGTCACCTGTCCATTCATGATTTCACTTAGTCATAGTAGAAGCCATCACAGGAAGGTCCATTAAGTGTAGATAGGTGTCTCCCATGGTCCATTGTGAGTTTAGTGTTCCTTGATGAGCCATTTAACTTGAATAGTCCCTTCAAGATGTGCAGGCTAACTACCTTGTGGATGTTACCACGTGAGCAAACATTTGAAATATGGGTACATAGTTAATATTCATAACGTTAGATACAAAAATGATACATGCATAAAAATAGCACAGTCATATTCAGCAAATCATAACCTTTCCATAGACACCTTACTTGACACACTTTGTACAAGATTTGTTGCAATTATATAACAGTGTTAGCAACAATGATCTATATGGTCATATTTTAATCAGATAATGTCACGCCTATATACAGCAGAATCCTCTGTCTCGAGGCTGACTGTTGGGTTATAAGAAGGAAGGAAGGAGGGCTGCCACCAACAGAGCTGCTTGTAGAAGCTGTGTGTGGTGGCAGAGAAGCAGCAGACTGGGACTGTGATACAGTTCTGGGGCTTATGTAGTTTGGGACCAAGGCACTGAGAGTTTCTGCTGCTTCTGTGGCCTATATGGGTCTGTTTCCAGACCAAAGGATTCTACTGTTGCTCTTTGAATACTGGTCCTTATATGTATTCTACTGTGGGTACGCATGCGCTCCATGCACCTGAGTCCAGAGAATTCTTACAAGCAGTGTCTGCTGGTCCACACCTGCCCCCTTACTCTCATGCTCTGCACCAAGAGTATAAGGGGTGGGTTGGACCTAACTGCCTCTCCAGTTGCTTCTTACTGCCACATGGCCTGAGTTGGAATCCGCCAGTGCCCAAAACTGATTCTTTCTCTGCTTCCTGTAATTATTCAAAATTACATATTGTTCTTAGTTTTTTATTGTTAGTTTTGATAGTTCCCCAGTTAGTTAGTGTTAAAATCCCTACCCCAGCGAAAGTCTCCGGTCTCCCAGCACAGGACTTAGATTATGACCAGGATACCAAGCTTCAAAAATTCTTTCTCCTGCCCCTGCTTCATTTCAGTCTAAGACAACCACTGCCTCAGAGAAACTCATGTTTCTTCTTCGAGTGATTACTCATGTGTATTCCACAATAGGTGTGCGTGCTTGCCACGTGCATCGGTGCGGGAAGTTTTTCCCCTAGTAGTACCC